GCGCGCGGGGCCCCGGGGGGGCCCTGAGGGGCCGCGGGAATGCGGGGTTTGGAGCCGCGCCTCGGGAGTGCCCCCTTCCCAGGGAAGAAACGCAGGGGATTTGCCTGGTTCGGGGAGGTTTGCGGTTTGTTATTTTTTTAATGAATAACTTTTGCTTACGGGTGGTGGCAGCGAGGCCGCGGCGCGGTTGCGGTGCCCGAGGCGCGTGGCGGAGCCGCGAGCGGGGCCCGCGGGGCCGCGACGAGGCCGCCCCGAGCAGAGCCGCCGAGACCCGCGCCCGCCCCGTCCCCGCTGGCGGCTCCAGCGCAGCGAGGCCCGGACCCCCACGGGGCCGGAGCGGGAACGTGGCTGGAAAGTTAGCTCCACTTAATAAGGAGCAGTGCCCGTGCGGAGGACAGGTATAACAGATAGGCTCGAGCCTGCGCAGAAAGCCAGGGTTAATTTGGGACCCGATCTTGGGGCATTCATCCCCCAGGAAATGGGCCTGCAGCGTCTCCTTGAACTACTGAGACAACGCGGCTGACTAGAGTCAGGGTTTCGTCCTTTGCAGTCAGAGTCTGACCTGAATTGTCAGGAATTTGTCCTAATTTAGCAGCGGTAATTGAGTTTATTTCTGTATGAGCATCACAGAAGGGATCATTGCAGTAAAGGATGAAGTTTGATGCTGAAAATGGAAAAAAGCTTGTACCAGTCAAGTGCTGCTGCTTTGTAGGACACCAGGAACAAGGTCACAGGAAGAATTCAAGGATATCAATTGAAATCCTCTTTTTTTTTTTTTTTAATTTATCCCATACATTGTGAGGCAAAAATTCTATAGCCATCACCATTAAGGTTTTTCTGAGGGAAATAATAGTGTAAGACTTCCTGGCACGCTGCAGAGTTTTCATAATCTAGTTCTAGAAGATCAGAAAAAGAAATTATTTTGTGTATGATAACTTCAAAAGAGAGCTCTGCAACATCTGCTGTGTACGTGCTGAGCTCGCCTTGTTTGCTGGTTGTTTTGTTTTGGCCTCAGTTCTAGGAGCGCGCTCAAGTCAGGCATGCATGGAAAGCACTTATTTTATATTGTAAGTGGGTGTGTTTAGGACGTTATTGCTTTAAAGACCATCTGGATGGGCTTCAATTGATGGAGCATTTTTCTGCAGTTGAGCTGGAATTGATTAGAGTACTTTAAAGGGGTGAATGTGTTACTGCGTAGTCACACTAGGCTAGAAAAGGCCCATTTCTGCACAAATATGAAGGTATGTGAGGCAAGCCAGGCTCAAAGTGTTTGGAAATGTCACTGCAGCARTTCAGGATTGATTAGGAAAGATCCCAGTTTGTTTAGAAATGTGTAAAATCTTGCCGCTGTCAAGCACCGCCAGGCGAAACAGAGCGTCACCTTCGCTCCCCYGTTGTGAAAAGCCTTTAATTTCTGTGGCTGGAGATGTGGAGCGGGAGGCGCCGCTCCCGGGAAGGTGCCGTGGTGCCGGAGCARCCTCCAGGTAGGGCTGGCGGAGGGAAGGGAGGAGCCGACCTCTGTAAACACCTCGCGTTGCCAGCCCTGCTCCGRCTCAGCTGAGTAAGAGTTGGGAACGGTTCCCATCGGAAATTGGAGCCTGGAGAAATCCATGCCCGAGCTCCGGTGAGGGATCTCCGGGCAGTTTCCGCAGCGTGGGAGTGCGTCAGGCGCTGGCTGCGGCTGCTTTCCGAGCCCATTGACCTGCGTTAATCCCAGGCGGGCCCTCCTGCCGCACGCTCCTGTGGGACACCAAAGCGCGATTCCGCGCGGGAATGTTGCCCACCGCAAGGGAGCCACCTGGAGCGCTGGGCTTTGCTTCAGTGAAAGGCGCTTGCCTTTCTGGGCTATGGTTTGCTCTTTGTGGAAGGTTTTCTTATGTCTTAGTGGGTGTGTTCGTAATTATGGCTCTCCTAATGAGGTGTCAGCTGATTAATCAGCTCCGTGGGTCAGTACTCTGCRCAGGAGCTTCCAACCGCTCTGGCCCTTCACGGGCCGCAGTACCCCCGCAGCACCAGTGCTGGAGGCAGCTCCTTGGACCCTTCGAGCAGCATTCCCAGGAGSCGCCCCTGGGCGTGGGTGGGATGTGAGAAGTCCAGCTTCTGGGGCAGAAGAAACAAAAACAATAGCTACAAACCCCCAGGTTGCTGCCTTTGAGTTGGTGGAGTCAAGACCAGAGYAGTTGTTTCTAGACCTGTGGTTTTTAAGCTGGTGTTAAGAAAACTCTCTGAGTATTGAACCTATCTTGAAACAACATGAAGTAGATAGGTCTGTGTATATAATTATATATAATGATTGTTTTTTCTTTTTTCTTTTTTCCCCTCCTTCCCTCCTGAATAGATATATGAAGTAGGCTAAAGGGTAARGAAAAAAATCCAAGCTTTTAAATCCCGGGTAGCCCTGTGGGCAAAACATAAGCTGATGTTTTTTCTCTCTGTTTTCCGTATGGACCATGGGAAAGCTGCGTGCGAGTCCTCTCACCTTTTCTTTTCAGATGCAGCAGAGCTTCGTGTTAGAGCTCAAACATTCGTGTTTTTCTGCTGTACGACCGTGAGGCTGTGAAATGGATTAGTAACAGTTTGGAAGAAGTGTTGGGATGAGTCAGGTTTAGTGACAAGAAAAAAATAGCATTTGAATGAGGCAGCCTCCAGGCTGCCCTAGGATGAGAGCGAGAGTGGTGACGATCTGTGTTTGCCTTCTGTTACAGTTGCTAAACAACTGTAGAGCTATGCAGAACAGCAGGTAAGCTAGTTATTTTTTTACTAATACTCTAAGTAGACTGTAAAGCTGCATATTTTAGTGTCTAGCTTTACAACAGAGAGAGGAAAACAGATGATCGCAGTATTTTTTCCTACTTTTTTTGCGTTTCTTTTGCTTCTATTGCTGGCAGCTTTGCTTGGATTTGCAAGCATCTTTTTCTTTGTGCCATGGCCTCCAGTGGAGCAGTGGGTCTGATTGTGTGGTTCCACCTGGAGACCTGTAAACAGCTAGAGCTTTAATGTAGGAAATACTGCCCGGATGAAAAACCAGAGGGACTGGGTGGGAGGAGGATGAAGACTGTGCACGCACTGGAGATTCTTCATCCCAGTGGGGATCCTCACTGGGGAGGCTGCGTTCTTGAGTTTTTCAGGGTTTTTTTCCTTTCCCTGGTGATTTTAATGGGAAATGCATTCAAGAATCAGATCAGATAGCAGAAGCAGTGGAAGAAAAAGGGAGTAAACGTTGCAGAAAGGGGTTTCTGCTCGAGTTCTCCAGAGAAGTCTTTTTTTATCACTTTAGCTGCAACAAGTGACTGTTTCTGCAGTTAAGCCCTGGTGTGGGAGCTGGGTTTGCACCGCGTCCTGGCACTCCATGGAATCACRTTAGTTCCACTGTTTTTGCAGGGCAAGCTCTGCAGATCTCTTGAAGTCTGAACTTGCAGAGCTGTGTATATATCTTCCTAAAATTAGCTACAACAGCGTTTCTAGCTGTGAATTCTGTCTGAATGCTAAGAATCTTCTGCCCTGCTCACACCCTTCATTTTTCAGGAGCCAGAAACYAGCCCTTTCTTGTTAACTTGCTATGTAGTGTTCTTGCAAGTTGTTAAGGTTGGTACTCTCCAACTTAGGAATTGTGCCTTTGATGCTGTGCGGTYGAACAGGGACCGCTTGGAGTTCCTGGATTGGGAACAAGGTTACCCGGCCTCTGGAATGCTGGAAAGTTCTTTCCAAGATTTTTCCCTTATCATTTCAGTCTATTGCACCCCCCCCCCTTTTTTTTTTCCTTGTATTGTTTTGATTCTTATTCCTCTTCCTCTTCCTCTTTAGTTTGGTTTTAAGATGTTTTAACCTTGTTTGCTTTTAAACTCCTGTAGCTTTTGATTAGTTTGGGTTTTCTTTGGTAAGCATCTTTAAAAGTCGTAAGTGGTAGCAGGTACACCACTAAAACCAAAGCATCTTGGAAACTATTTTTTTGTAGGTGGTTATRGGTAGAATTCACTTAAATAGCAGTTAAGCTAGCAATGTAAATAAATAACAAGCACTGATACACCAGTTTTACGGGCAGTGTCAGGAAGCAGAGGCTGTAACCAGAGACAGGGAGCAGGTGCCCTGTTCCCTGGTGCTGAGCCTCCCCTGTGACACGTTTGTTAATATGCTGCTTTATAAGCAGAATTAAACCTGTAAGCAAGAGCTTGACTGTTCCTCCAGAGCTGCCCCTTTTCCTCCCTCAAACCTCAAACGTGGTCAGTTTTACTCAGTATCAAAAGCAATAGACTTACTGGGTGGCTGGGAGATAGCAGGAAGTTTGTGTGCATATAAGGGTTGAATTTGTCACTGAGTTTCGCTGCTGACTTCCTGGTTCGTGGCTGAGAAAGGGTTCTGAAAATATTTCAATTCTTTGTTGATTTGTTGGTGTGAGGTCAATATAAATTGAATATGTAATGATACTTYTGAAATGACTTTCCTCTGAAGTGCTGTCGGACATTTGCTTACGTATATATCTGTTTCTTACAGCTCTGATTGAAAGCCAGAACAAAATACTTTGCAAACAGAATGTGGCTTCCCTTTTGCTCGAAAAGGTGAAATCTTTCAGGCAGAAATGGCCGACAAGGGCATGAAGATACTTCCAGGACAAATGTACATCGAAGTGGAGTATGACTATGAATATGTGGCCAAGGACAAGAAAATTGTGATTAAACAAGGGGAGAAATACATCTTGGTGAAAAAGACTAATGAAGATTGGTGGCAAGTCAAAAGGGATGAGAATTCCAAACCTTTTTACGTGCCAGCGCAGTACGTGAAGGAAATCTCACGGAAAGCACTGATGCCCCCTATTAAGCAAGCAAGTATGCTGCCAAACAGCACGTTGAAGGTGACCCATGGATTACAGAGATCCACAGAAAATGTGAATAAGTTACCAGAGCTTTCTAGTTTTGGGAAGTCTTCTCCAGTTCAAGTGTCTTGCTTAGTTCGAGATGCCAATCAAAACCTGGGACCAAACAATAGCCCCAGTCAAACTCTTGGTTTGAGTCTGGACCTTACCCAAAACAATGGGAAACTTAACAACGAATTGCAGTCTCCCAAGATTTCCAGTCAGTATAGAGCCCTCTCTGTGGGCCATTTCCCATGTCCAGAGTTCTTGGAAATAGAGAAAACCAGCTTCTTGCATGAACAATCTTGTGATTCAGCAGGAGAAGGCTCAGAAAAAATCCATCAGGACTCTGAGTCAGGGGATGAACTCAGTAGTAGCTCTACAGAGCAAGTGCAGGTGGGCTTAAATTCTTTCTCTGGGTCTGTGGAGTTCTCTTATTTTCTTTCGAGTGTTACTGTAATTGTTTTCCTGCTGTTTTAAGTTTCTTTTTGTAGTAAATATATTTTAAGAAGCATGCTTGATTATTCAAATTTGAAATATTGACATGCATCTTTTGCTTGCAAAAATGTTTTAATTAGCTTGATACACATTATCCTGTGCTTTAATGCTGTATGAATAATTCTGTTAATGTTTTTCTTTCTTTAGTTGGAGCTCATGTTGAATTTGGGGAGTACAGTGATTCTCTCCAAGAGTCAAGGGGTCTGCTGCTATAAACATCTTGGTTCTAGGCTTATTTCATTTTGAAATTAGAAGAATATAATGGTGCTAGTTACAGTAGTCAGCTTTTTCTGAGTATGTGCACAGATAGTCTTGTGAGATGTAAATTAATGTCTTGGTGAATTTAGTAGTTTTAAAAATGGCACACTTAGTTTTTYTTTTTTAATATGATTTTATTTTCAGCTTTATTTCTTCCTTGTGGACTCTTAATGTGATGAGTGAGTCTTGCTATTTCTGCTTCCCACMATTTTTCTCTGGATAGAACTCCAAACATGAGAGTTTTCATTAATCAGTATGGAAGAATTCCAAGAATGGTGTCCTCCCTCCTTAGGCTAAAACTGAGCAGTGATRTCCTTTATACTTCAAAAAATGTTTGATTAATTTAAATTACTTTTTGAATCGTTGCCCTCCCTCCTCCTATCTCCCCCAGTACATAAGCAGAGTAGTAATGTGACACAGATCATCAGGTCAGTTGTGGGAAGGGTAGCAAGTTAATTCTGCTCTAGAGCTAGAGTTGTTCTTGGATGACTGATGTGTGTGTACATATACGTACAGATATGTATGTATGTGTAGCTATATTTTTGGGGGGCCTCATATGTTTTCCTGTCACTTAAAACTTATTTGATGTTTACTTTAGAAGCGCGTCCAATAGCCCAACTGCTGTCATAGTAACTATATACTAAATTACAATTTTTTGAACATTTCTTAATATCCTATTTTAAAATAGGACCATACTTTACCATACTTATTTTTTTTATTGTGTAGCAAGTCTGTTTCTTCTGCAGTATTAAGTATAACTTAGGTGTCTGCCACCTTCTATGTTTAAAATAGCCAGAATTTGTATTGCACAAATGTGTCTTGGCAAGCAATATGAATATGTGGCCTGCAGTTTAGTCTTTGTCAATATTGGTGTCACATTTACTGTTTATTTTATTATTATTAATATTGATTAACTGAMCATCAAAATGCATGTAAAAGTTTGTGTTTGAACCGAGTGAATAGGAACATACACATGCAGGCTTTGCTGTGTTGTATTATTATGTATTAAATGTGTTATATTATGTAAGGTTTGGATGTGGGAGTTTTCTCAGAGCTTAGAAATGTGGTTCCTAAAGACATTACGTTTCAGCTGTGGAGCAAACATGGCCTTGTTTTACTAATGTTGTAGTGGAACTATTGCTGTTTTTACGATCTGGAACCGTAAGGGTGTTGGATGGTCAATATGTTTTGCAGTTGTATTTTAAAACTGACTTAATTTCATCATGTGGGATCGCAGACTCTTTAAACACAGTTACAGTATTTGACATTTAGTAGCCATAGGGATTAAAGCAGTAGGAGCACTGATGTCACTGTTAGCTCAGTCTACATATTATGAGTGCCAGCCTTCTGCACTGGAACAGCCCCATGTTTTTTTTATAATTCTTTCAATAATGAGCATTGTTTAGCAGAAATCAGCTGTGCAGAAATTAATGGCTTAGAAAGCTGTTTTTATTGCTCTTAGTCTGTAGTGAGAACATCAAGTTCCAGGCGTTCACACACAAACACAACTTTCCCTCTGCAGGACAAGGCTACTTTGCATCTCTGTCCTACCCGCCTCTGGTGGAATTTTGTTTCATGCAGTCCGTGTCAAAAAGAAGTCAGATTACAGTGAAATTTCAATAGCATTTTGTCTTGGATTTGTAGGAGTGGAAGCTTGGATGGCCTTAATATCTTTGCGTAGGCAGAAAATTTCATCCACGCATAACTCATAGTTCACAGGCAGTGCTGATGCCAGCACAGAGCAGATACAGAGGCAGACTGAGAGTTAAGGAACATGTTTCTTGCATTTGTGTTCTTTTGGGGAAGGAAACCTTGGATTCAATGAGCTCTATGGCTCTGCTTCCAGACAGCTGCGAAACTGAGGGGTGGATTAGTCTGACATGGTAATATTCATGTTTAGTCCAGCCTTTAGTGGAGTTATTTGTATCCTGAGTACAAGTGTATGAGATGCAAAGGAGTGCTTGTATTATGGGAAGATCATGCGAAGAAACAATTGTTATTCGCTGAAGATTATTTTATAAATCTTTTCCAGGATTAAAGTGCAGCTTCTGTAGCTGGATGACCTCCAGCTCAGAGGTTTGTTGGCTGGGGAAATGCTGAAGGATCCATGTTCTCCAATGTACTGCACAAAGAAAGGGATTTTGTAACAGCTGAAATCTTCATGAAATGACGAGTAGAGAGGTGACAGTGGGAGAGCAAAAGAATTTGCTGATTGAAGATATGAGCAAATGACCTGGTCAAGGGAATAGAAGTGGATACGAGCGCTCGTGTCCTTCTATACAGAGAAATGCCAAGAGCTGGSGGGCAGCTCTGGTGCATAAGGTGTCCTCAGAATCGAACTATCACTTAATGGATTTGAATTTTGGGATGGACAGAGATAATTATGTGGTACCAAATGTGAGAAGGGCAGAAAATGCTCTTCAGAGGCCAACGTTRGGACAGCATGAGACTGAGGGAAGAGCTCTGTAGCTGAGGTTGGGCAGTACTTGAGAAGCACTTGTGAGGTTACAGCAATAGGAAGTCCTGAAGAATTTGTCCTGGAGAAATGATTCTGTAATGAGGCATTTCTAATTTCTCAGGGGAAAAGAAGTTGGGAGAAAATAAAAATGGTCTTGAAAAGGACCTGTGCACAGTACTTGCAGGTAAAAAAATCTATTAATTTTTTGAGAGAGGATATACAGAGAGAGCTGGGTAAGTATGGCAGTCATACCAAGAGGAGAGAGAAAGGTTTGGTCTCCTGCTCTCACAAGAAAGTATAAGAATGGTGCTATAGGATGGATAATGTAGTTAACAGATAGTGGATACCTAATTCATAATGGACCTAAAATACTCTCTTTCTGGTGAGGACGAATGTTCTCTTCTGTGGTAAAGACATAGACTATATAAAACCTGGAAATATTTGCACTCACGTAATGTTACTGTTTTATGCTTATTAAAAACATACTTCTAGCAGCAGGCTGCTTTTAGTCATTACAAATATAGACAGTGACCTATTTGCAAAGATTGTTCTTTCATCCTCTTTAGTAATTGACTATTGCATAAACTGTGAAGCACTAAAGGGGATTATCATGAGGATGACTGTTTTGCTTTGATTAATTCTGAGTAGCAAGGAGCCTGCAAACGGAGCTMCTTCGCTTCTACCTCTGCAGTTTCTCTGGGCCTTGCTCTGCTTTATTTTTACCCGGTTGAGGCRTTGTGTTTCTGCGGGTCTTGCCTTTTGGTTTATAGTCTAACACTTATAAGGTGACCAATCGTTCTTGTTAGTCAATTATGAACTTTCTAAATAATGACTACTRGTTTTGTAGGCTGCAGGTTTAATTAGCTTCTATAATAAGAAATGCACTTTTTTAAAAAAAACTTCTTCTTATAAAATAGTTATGCTTAATGAAACTGAAAATGCTGCAGACTTTTCTGCAGGTCTTGCAGTGGTCGTATGTATAATATTTTAAATGAGATTTTAAGCGTCACTTTTTTAATCTCTAATGCTTTTAAAATCAGCCTGAGAATAACTACGTAAAATGCTGGAATATGCCCATTATGATGAGGTGAAGAACACTTCATAGGCTTTTAATTAGAGGAATTAAAGGCTCTCTAAAGGAATTAAAAGCTCTGTAATTGAAGGAATTTTGTGAAGTGCTAACACCAGGGATCCTCTTCCTCTCACCCTGCCCAATAACTGGTGGGAGAGCCCTAACCAACCAGAAAAGTTTTACGAATTCTATTGGAAACTGAAAGCCTTCGCTCACAGAAAAAAACATTTTCCGAGAGGTTCTTTACTGCCATTCCTCCCTGCCCCCTTTCTTTGTGCTGGCACGTCTGGATAATGTGAGTTTGCAAGAGGGCTGGTTTTGATCAGATCTTTTTAATGTGGAACAACTGTGCAAGGCAGYGAGCTGATAACTCTCCCTCTGTCAGGGTGAGTAATTCTGGCACTGTCTGCCCTTGCATGAGAAGGCTCCATGTCCCACGAATGCTGCCTGCAGCCCATATGCTCCTCTGAGTTCCCTTCTGCAAATTAGATTGTCCTCCTTTTCTAAGAAAACAAATATTATTGACACCAGGCGACTGTGGAGAAGTCATAATCTGGGGGGACAATGTGGTTTCAGTTGGAGGCTTCTATTAAAGCTGGCTTAAAAACTGGTGTCAGCGTTGAGCTGCATGAGGCACGAAACAGGCTGAGCTCCAAATGGCACTGCAGACCGAGAGCACTGCTAAGATCCTCCAAGGGCAACAGTCTCCTACACGTGTTTAATTTCATACAGAAAAGGAAAGTGGAACTTCCTGGACATCAGCTTCCATTCAGAAGTACTTTCTACCTCTGCTTCTGAGCCTGATGGAACTTTTYAATAGCTTGAGTGAAGCTCCAGTTGCACTACGCACAGAATAAAGATTTAAATATGGAATTAAGGCTTCCAGTTTTCAACCTAGAAAAACTCTGCTGTCCCACCTGCCCTTTCTTTAGGTAGCACAAAATACCCCTCTTAGTAGTGATAATAGCAGCATGTTTATTGAAGATAAACACATAAATAGAAAAGGAGCACCAGGAAAAGCAAGCTGGTGTTCTGGCAGACTGCTGCCTGAATTAAAGCACTTGGAAATGCTGCAGGTTTCTCCATGGGCAGCTCTTTTATCCATTTCAT